CACTCTGGTTTATAAAGGAATGGTAGGTAAAAAATAAAACTACTATTTCCTACTCCGCTCACTTCTGCCAACCATGAAAATAAAATGTACTAGAGTTAATCAGCATGTCTACGAAACTGGCACTCCAGAGTCACCCTCTGGTTTGTTGTCCCTCTCAAAAACTGGTCGAAATTAATAAAAAGCTTTCTAAATGAAATTATGATGAATTTCACAGTTTCTTCTCCATTCACCTCAAAGGTAAATGAAAGATACCTCTTCAGGTTTTAAAGAACAACGGTGTACAAACGGCCTCCCATGACCAAACAGCGGCTCGGCTCAGTTGATGTACTTAAAATTCCTATTAAAAATGGCTGGTAAGCCAGGTGCAATGGTGCTCACCTGAGTACCAACGACCCGGGAGGCTAGCCTGAGCCCGAGAGCTTGAGACCAGCCTGAGCAACACAGCAAAATCCCATCTCTTAAAAAAAAAGGCCCATGGAAATTGATACCTGAGATTTGACACGTCTTGTTCTCTTCGGCAGAATGTTCATTCTTGTGCCTGGCTCTGGGGATGTTTGGATATCAGTGCTGAGAACCTCAGGCTCCACTCTTTCCTTAATATCTAAATTAGGCATCTGTACACCCTAAAAGATCAGATCACAGAAACAGAGTAGATTCACTGATAAGAAATCAGGCTCAATTGAGAATCAGTGGAGAAGTAATAAATTGCCACTAAATCCCTGAAACTACATGAAACCAGATGGCAATTCTCTTCGTTATTGCTGGCAATTCTCTCTTGAATTGATCTACAGACTCAAAGCAATCCCTCTCAAAATTCTGGCAGGCTTTTTGGTAGAAATGGAAAGCTAATTCTGATCTTTACGTGGAAATGAAAATTGGAAATTTTGAAAAAAAACAAAGAGGATTTATACTACTGGGTATCACAATTTACTATAAACCCACAGTACTCAAGACAGTGTGGTATTGGTATTAGGGTAGACGTACAGATCAACGGAACAAAACACAGTCCAAAAATAAACCCACACATTTGGTCGACTGACTTGCAACAAAGGCGCAATAGGAAAAAGATAGTCTTCTAAACAAGCGGTGCTGGTACAAATGAATATTTATACTACCCTCTCCACCAAAAACTGAACCTACTCCTTTACCTCACACCATATACAAAAAACAACTATTCAAAATGCATCACAGACTGAAATA